AGTATGCCGCGCTGCAGGTTGCAGGGGTCGGCTACGCAAGTACATAAAGTTACCGTAACTCGAACATGTAAGCTTCACCAGCCATGAACAATTACTTGAGATACTGAAACATTCCCACAGATCAAATTCAGCACTGTTTTTGTTAACTTCTATGTAATGCTAGGTATAATGAATCGTCTAAGCGATTGTTCAAACATAAAACACTTGAACATATGGGTAAATCTATAAGAACTACCTTTGAGCAGACCATTTTTCCATTTGCCATCATTTCACAAACAGAAGACCATTTTTTCACTCACAGTGATTTCCAAATTCTATCTTCTAAATCTAACAGACTCGACTTCCTTATTCTAGAATCACTATATATCCACAAGATGAAACCCGAACTAAAAGGCAGAATAGCTATTCAAATGTTTAGGATATAATTCAATCACCACAACGACCATTGCACATTTGTATTTCTCAACTTTACGCATTTATTCCACATTGTTTCTTCCGTTTTATCTTTGTGTAATTGCATTACAAATTTATTGTTGCTGCTTTCACATACACACAGACACATTCACACACACACACACACACATACATACATACATACATATACATACATACATACATATATATAGAGATAGATATATGTTTTGTGTGTGTGGTTGTGTGTGTGTGTGGTTTTATTTGTGTGTGTGTGTGTGTGTGTGTGTGTGTGTGTGTGTGTGTGTGTGTGTGTGTGTGTGTGTGTGTGAGGAAGGTTGACACTTGCGGCGTATTTCGGCGTGAGGCCGCGGCAATGCGTATACAAAAATGCAGCCAAAATGGTACGGAATGTCATGACGTCTTCACACACCGTAAGAAATGTTACGGCTTGCTTGCGAGATGATGCGGAGCGGCACGAGTTGGTGTCAAGGTGCCTTGCGCAGTGGACGCAGTGTCTGTTGCCGACGTGTCACGGGATGGCACGAGAGGTGGAAGAGGTTTTACGCAGTGTGGCGAGGTGCTCGCGTAGTGTTGCGAGGTGTCACGGTGTCTCACAAGGGGTGGTGATACAATAAAATTCCCTTGGATTTAGGGGTTGGGGGTATAAGAGCTTGATGCTGTGGATACAGTATATCACCGAGCATCATCAAGGATGGAGCTACATACTACCCCAGGAGGCCGACAGGATGATAACAAGTCTCCTTATTACAGCTGCAGCCTGTCTACTTGATGTCTATTGGAGAAGACCCAAATGTGTACAGCGACCTGTGCCACCTAGGCTGAAACCACCATCAATACAGATAAGCAAGAGGATTTGGTGCTGTGAATGGCTGATGAAAAGATCTATACAAGACGATTATCACCAGCTCCTAGAAGAACTAAATAAAGAAGACAAAAGGAGCTTCAAATACTTCGTCCAGATCCAACCCGAATTGTTTTCCGAGATTATTGAAAGGATATCTCCAAAGTTAGACAAGAAAGACATGAAAATGTGATTTCCTCAATCAGTGGGCTTGAAACCGGCAGTCATCCTACACTTTCTGGCAACTAGCAACTCCTATGTGTCTGCAATATAGTTTCAGAGTCTCAAGGAGTGCCATTTGCAAATTTGTGCCTCAACTGTGCCAAGCCATCATCGACACCTACAAACCTGAATTTATGAAGTGCACCAAAACTCCCGAGGTATGGAAGAAGAAGGATTTTCCAAGAGATGGAACTACCATAACTGTGGAGGTGCACTTGATGGGAATCATGTCCCAATAAAGAAACCACCAAATGGAGGATCAGTGTATTATAACTACAAAAAGTTCCACAGTATTGTACTCATGGCCATCGCAGATGCAAACTACAAGTTCCTGTACGTCGACGTAGATGCTGAAGGAGGTGCTGGCGATGGAGGAACGTGGTCTAAGTGTGACCTTAATCAAGCCATTGAAGAGAAGCGAGCCGGATTTCCGGAGGCCAGTCCATTACCTAATGATGACACTCATATCCCCTTCAATCTGATAGGTGATGATGCCTTCGCCCTCAAGCCAATACTGATGAAACCGTACTCACACCAATCCCAGGTGCACCATGCACAGATTATCACGTGCTCGTCATGTGGTAGAAAATGCATTCAGCCTCCTCCAAGCAAGAATGAATGTTAGGACCATTATGCATCGAAATCCCAAAGTAGTCAAGACTCACCATGAGTGGATGTGTCATGCACAATCACATACTCAAACAATATCCATTTGCTGGTAATGAAGTCGACTACGAAGACGCCCAACACAATCTGGTACCTGGAGCTTGAAGGGAGGAACAGATTAGCATGCAAGGACTCTTAAATCGACGAAGACATAACTACAGAAGGCAATCCAAGGCGCAAAGAAACTACATGGCTCTATGCTACAGTTCAGAAGCTGGAACAGTACCGTGGCAAGAAGGAATGGTATATCCCAGAGGACGACCACAAGGTATATAATAATGTGTAATCTGTATTTTATTTTGCTGTACATGTCTATTTTATTTTTCTGTACATCATTATGATCTGCTATGTTGAAAAAAAGTATACTGTCTATTTTACTCGTTGCCTTCCCTTTTATTCAGATTTGATATTGAGTGAGATGGAACATTTTTAAAGTATAAAAGGTTGAGATATTATAAGAAATATAAAAAACTTGTATCAAATTATTTTACTTGCAAGAACATATATTTTAAAGATAAATAAAATTGCCTTCTCAAGAATGACATGAAATATACAGTAATAAATATTATTCTTGGTTGCTCTTGGTTTCGATCGTGCCGTCCTCTCATCCGAGGGGTCGGCGGTTCGCGCCCCGCCCAGGTGCGAGAAGTTGCAATTGTCGCCCGGAGGTTACTGCTGTGGCTGGGCACCACGGTGGGTAAGGAGTAAGCTCTGTCGCGTCAGTACTCGCTGACGCGTTGATCGAGTCGACATTAGTCGGCACAGGCCGGGCTCCCCCATAGCCCGGGCGAGGCTCAGCTTCGCATATCGGACTTATCCTTATCCTTATCGGTTTCGATGTTCCTGGGGATTTCCAGGCTCAAGGAGTAGCCACTTTCCCTGTGAGACTACACGTCGACCAATGAAAAAGCAGCATCGCGCCACTTCTAGCCAGTGCGCAAGGTACCCCGCGGCAGCTCGAAACCCACCGTCAGTTTTGCGCAAGATGTCGGTACATGAGGTCGTGGTCTTCCGCGCCACACCGCAAGAATGCATGCCATGTTGTCACGGCGTCAAACATGCCGCTGTAGTGGACGTGATGTACCCCCACTATGTTGCGAGTCCAGACTAGGCTAGTCGCCCGGTGAACGGCGCAGCACCATCTGTGGGAGTTCTTGGCAGCCACCTGGAACATTTTTATTTCGTTTTGTTTGTTTACACATTTTTAGATTTTCTTTTAACGGCCTCGGTGTTATTTCATCTCTTAGGAGTTAAAGAAGTTTTACTTTAATTCTAATCTCTTTTATTTTAATTTATATTATTTAAAAGTCACTTGCGGCAAGACACAAACGAGTTTAAAAAGCTAGTCTTGCCGAGTATCACTCTTGGGTCGTTTGTTTGTCCTAGTAGCAGTGTGTGGTATGTGGTCTTGAGACCTACGAGAGAGAGATAAGTATATTTTGATTATTTGTAAGAGGCCAGATAGGATGTGATATAGGAATTGTACATTTTTGAGAATATACAACCTGAGGATATCTCAGGTTTTCCTTTGAACTTTTTGGTTTCGTTTTTATCCTTGGTTTGTTTAGTTCTATTACTTTTTATTTGTTTTATTTTACTTGAATTTAAAGAAGGATGAACATAATTTTAAACAAAGAAATAATGCTAATAAGAAGGAAAAAGAGAATCAGACAATGAAAGCATGACAATAGTTCATTATAATGATGATAAATAAATAAGATAATTATGATGACCAACTAAAGTAAATTGTCTTTGCTTACACTTACGAGTAAGGGCTTCAGAGTCGTGATGGGTGAGTCATGCTGCAAAATACGCCTGCTACCACATTTAAAACAGCTACCCTGTCCGTAAATTGCACTCTGCAAGACCCGCGTTGTAGTTTGCAAGGGTCTTGGCAGGGAAAACACGACACTGCGGTGTGACGCGGGGTGACCCGACGTGTCACGGGACCTTGCGGCTACTTAAGTACGGTGTACACCGCGACAAAAATTTTACAAGTTTCAAATTTCTTGCGATGTCGTGTCACTTGGCACGGTGTATGTGACCTGCCACGGCTTGCCAAGAGGTGTTTTGCGGCCTAGGCACACATTGACGCGGCCCCTCGCTGTGACACGTCGTGCCACGCCGCAAGCTCAAAATGCGCGTGTCAACCTACCTTATGTGTGTATATACACATACATGAGTATGTGTGTATGTTTTTGGATCTGTGTTTATTCGTGTGTGCTTGTGTGTATGTGTATATATATATAGTATGTATGTATGTATATATAGTATGTATGTATGTATATATATATATATATATATTATATATATATATATATATATATATATATATATATATATATATATATGTACATATATGGATAAGAAAATAAAAATAATATATTCATATATGTATATATGTGTGTGTGTGTGTGTGTGTGTGTGTGTGTGTGTGTGTGTGTGTGTGTGTGTGTGTGTGTGTGTGTGTGTGTGTGTGTGTGTGTGTGTACAGTGACTGAAAATGCATATCCTCGGAGAACTATTTTCAGCTTTTCGGCCAGAGGTCACCATTACATCATGGCTGTGAAAATATGTATATACACAAATACACAGATTATTAAAAATGACCCATGCGCCTCCTTCCCCAGAGATGACCCTCTCCAAGTCGGTGGCATAGAATGTCAACATTAACCGCATCGGCGGGTGTGAGTGAGCCCGCGTTGGGCCAGTACGGTTCCGACCTGCCGAGGGAAAGCTGCCTTTGGTCTGCCCCCGTCAGGCGTAGCCGGGGGTGGAGTCAACCTGGCCCTCAACTAATTTGGAGGAGGGCGTTGCCTGCCCCTCACCAAATCCG